CCTCCACCAAAAAAAAAAAAGCATTGTTTAATTGTTCTGTCATTCAGGGTGTCACTTAAGAGATACCACAGCACCCTCCCTTTGGTGGGAGGACAGCAAAAAGCTCTAAATGCCCATTACACCCTCACCATGTATCCCTTTTTAGTAGAAAGGGTCTTTTCACACAGAGCATCTGGCTTACAGGGCCTTTTTTTTTTTTTTAAGAGGGAACAAGTGGGAGGACAATAGAACCCTTAATGTGCAGTGACATCATTTTTGGCTACAGTCCCATCACCAGCCGAACGCAAGCCAGACAGAAGACCTCCACAGGGGCCCTTCTCTGGGAGCTGCTGGAAGCAATGCTACCTTTCAAAGATGACCCCTTGGAAAGCGTGGAAGGGGCTCCCCAGCACAACAGCATGGGCCTTGCACTGGTAGGACTACAAAAAAAAAAGAAAAATGGGGCAAGAAGGCTCTTGTGATCACCACGCAGACAACTGGTCCTGTTCAGACATGAGGCCTCAATGCTCCCGCTCCACAGGGCAGCAGCTCAGACAGGATTTGAGAAAAGGAGGATCCAGCAAAGCCAGTTAACCCTGGGGAAAACTGATCTGTCCAGATTGTTCAACTGCCACTGACCTGAGAGCAGGCCATGTCCCCAGGCCAGAGTTAAGGGATAGAGACTTTGCTTCACAGCCTAACAGGTAACACAACAGAAGTAACAGGACAATGGCCAACGTTACGAAGAGTAGCAGGAAACACTCGAAAGAAACATGCATTTAACCATGCACATAGTGGCAATTTTCATTAAAAAAATCTCTACTGGGTACCAACCAAGAGAAGGAAAACCAGGCATGCTGTACAGACAGGGAAGAGATGACTCCCAGCCTCAAAAACTCACGACCTGATCCTACAAACGCCTCTCCTGATTGACATACAGAGGTGTCAAAGACACAAAAAGGCCTGAAAGGACAGGATTCTTCTTCCCTACCTTTAAAATCCCCTGATTTTAAAGATGGCCAAGCCTGCTCAGTCAACAAGGAGGGTCAGGCACCTCCAGAGAATACTCCATCCCAGATCTAGACGCCTCATCCCTAATGAAGTCATAGAAGTGAAAGATGATGAGCATTTGTTCAGACATCTAAAAGCTTCTTTGCAGGAGAAGAACCCCACCTCGACTGTCTGCCCAACACAGCAGACGTCCAGGACAGGGTGGGAAACTGTTTGAAGTCTCCACAAGCCTCAGGGTAACTCTGGCATTACCTGTTGCGTGCAAGTGAGTATCAGCTACACATCTTTGTCAGACTCATCAGAGTACGCTTCCACCCAACCAGGATGGCTCCCGAGTAAGCTGCACTGTCTTTCCTAAACACCCCATTCAACAACTCACCAATTCATTGACTAATTTCCCAGTTCACCATCTCCCCCTTTCTTCTCACAAAGCACAACTGTCTCATCATCCAATTCTTCCCCTCCCCTGGTCTGTCAGGTGGTGGGCTCAGTCCTCACCTATAACACCTGGAAGCCCACTTGAATCACCACTTTCCCACTCCACAATGTCTGCTGTCAATCTTTCTAACCCTGACCTTCACTCTCCTTCCAATCTCAGAAGCACCACTTTAGGGCAGTCTGTCTTTCTCTCTTGAAGCCTGGCCTTCCTCCCCACCCTCAGCTCCCTTCACTGTCTCAGAGCAAAGATTCTTTGGACCCTGGGCCCTCTTCCAGCTTGAATACACTCTTACAAAGGTCAGGGAATACTTAAACCCACCACTCTTCTATAAAGCAGCTGCTTCCAGCAGCTCCTGTGATGTCCCGAAGCAACAGAAGAGGGCAGAGAGGAGCTGCCAGAAAGCAGTAGACAACATTTGCTCTGAAATCCATGGACTCTCTCTGGTCCCAGAGCGGGAAGTGTCTGTCATGCATGAAATACTCCTGGTTTCTATGCACATGAGCTGACGAACAGCACATCAACAGAGGCAGCTGTGTGACAACTCCATCCATGCCGAGCCAGACCTGCTCGCTGCATCCAAAGTCCTGGCGTTGCCCTCAGCTCTCCCAGCACAACACAACTGGGAAATACCAGTTGCTGAGGGAATCTCAGACATCCTTTCCATCCCCCAACTCGACAACTGCAAAATCCACACATTTTCTTTGCTACAGAGGGAGCACGTGACTCATATCACCCAAAAAGAGTGTTTCTTCACCAGAGAGCAGTATTTTACAAAATCCCTGAAGTGCCCCAAAGCACTCAGGCAGGTGGCACCCTCCTGCACGGACAACACGGCAGAGGCATGATACTCCTCCACATCCCCATGACAAGGGCTAGCACAAGGGCAAGTACCTGGTCCCAGAGCTGCTAGGGGCAACTTCTTGTGATAATACACTATATCGACCTTAAATCTTACACACACCCAGAGCCCTGGCTGCCTAAATGAGCAATTACATCATCACCTCCCATTTGACAGTGCTACACAGGATCAAATCATTCCCACAGCAAACTGGGAGCAAGAGGGAAATCGAAAGACGCAGCAACCCCAGAAGAATCACCTGGCTCTGGTCCAGGTAACTCCAGGGCTCAGGAAGCAAATTTCTAATAATCAAGGCTTGCTGGCTGGTTAAACATACCATCTATGCAGCACTGCTGCTGTTATTAAATGTAAGACACTATTTATTACCATGGAGGACATTCTGTAGTATCAGAAACTCAGCGCTCTCTATTCTCTGCTCTCTTCATATACTTCAAGACTAATGTTGGGGGGAGGGGGGAACCAAACCAAAAAAAAAAAGGGGGAAATAAAAGAGAGAGAGCATGCAAGGTAAATGAACCATGCAATAAAAACTATTGAAATTGGCTCAGGCGTCTCCTGATAAGATCACAGGAGTTGAGAAAGAGAAAGAACTGCAGCTCTACTGGTGAGAAATCTAACCATTGACAAAACGTCCATTCAGGGGAAAAAAATAAACAGATGCTTAAACACACAGAACACCTGCTAAAAATGCCAATTCTTTGAATACTGAAGTCCAGAGTATTTTTGTCTTAATATAAGTCTGATCCCAGGAGCCAAGGCTTGCACTCTTGCTATCAGCAGTCCCCTCTGCAGGTTCATACAAACCAATACTCACAGTATATGGATCTCACACACTAAGAATGTGAATCTGGAAGCAAATTTGTCTCTGTTGCTACAGAATCAGTCTAGCTCAAACCTCCCCACACCACCTCATCCCATGAAGTTCAGCCCTGAGCTTAATTATCACCCTGAGGGTCCTCAGACGTTTTCAAGCCGCTATTGGCAATTTCACTATAGACTGAAACTACTCATTCAGGTGCCTGGAGAGTACCTGGGCAATAACCACCTGCTTCATAGGGCTGGGCTCTCTCACCTGGTGGGAAGGGATGGCTTTCCTTGGGCAGCCGCAGGGCTCCTAGCACTGCTGCTGGGTTAGCAGCCAGTCCCTACTGCTACAGAGTGGCTCAGCCAGCAGAGAGGCAGCTGCAGAGCTGCAAAGTGCTCCTTGGGGACCCAAAAATCATCGCTCTGTCCACATGATCCATCCTTGTGTGCAAATCCTAGGCCCTTGAGTACCTTGCAGACACTGATTACCTGGGTTCCTTGAATGTTAGGCTGGCTATGGCAGCACGATAACGATGTTTCAGAAATACTTACTGCCTCCTTTTGATAGGCCTTCTGAAGCTTCATGTTTGCTCACATAACAAAGTGCTTCATGCTTCAAAAATCACATCAGCCTTTTAGCATCCTCCAGCCGGTAAGGCCCTCCCTACTATCCCTGTCAACCTGACTGAAGCCACACCTGGTGAACAGGGAAGCCTGGCACCCAATGCCAGCCTCACAAGTAATGCCACACATGCTGCACGGCAGCACTTTCATCAGCAGCACACAGCTCCTCGCTGCTGCCGGCCAAGCACCCCAAAACTCCTCCCACAGGCTGAAATCCAACAGCAGCCCCCATACAACCTCTCACTGCCTCTTTTCTCCACAGCCCTTGTGCAGCACAGAGCAAAGCTCATGCTGGCAGCGAGCTCTGTGCAGTGACACCATCCCTTGTGCCTCCCGCAGAGCACAGTGGCGCGCACAGCTCCGGAGAAGGACCTTTGTGCTCTCTGCCAAGAGCTCCTATGTGCCCCCCGAGCCAGGCTCTCCCTAGACATGGACTCTGCAGCCATCAGTCCTTTTCCACATGATGCTGGCAACTAGCAAGGGAATAGCCAGTCTCCAAAAACTGAAGGAAGCCATTCCCAATTTTTAACAAAAACTCAGGCAGTAACAAAACTCTCCAAAGAAAACTCCCGCACTTTGACTCCAGCAACAAACCGGTGGGAAATGCCTTTGGAACTGAGGTGATTCCACTCTCTGACCTGCTGTCCTCGCACCCAGAAGACGCACACGGGCCTTTTTCAAAAGCTGGAGTGGCTTCAAACAGCTGCAGTTAGCTACTAGCTAGGGAAGTTGCCCGTACTTAACACGCCTACTGTAGTACCCACAGTTCTGAAAAAAGGTCAAACCGGAGTTCACCAGGAGGCTGCTCTAGCTTGAAATAGGTCACTGGGTGTTGGGATCCACAGTTTCAGCAACGCATGCTTTGAGCGCTCAACGACAGCAGCTACTCCCTCTCCTGCTAAAAGCAAGCCCATTGCCACAGTCTTCACACGCTCAGAAGCTGCCCCGCACCGGGATCCTCCAGGAGGCTGTGCTCCACTGCCAAGCCCAGCTACGCTCCATCACACCTCCCGCACCACATCATCTGCTCTGGAAACACTCAGCGCTTCCTTTTGTCAGTACTTGTCTGTCAGGTAGGCAGTTCTGCCAAGAACCTTAAAGCAGTTGCAAAGCTCCCCGCAGTTGCACATGCAAACGCTCTTAAGAAATAGCCAGAAGGTTTTGCCTAATGTAAAAGCGTAAACAAACTTGTTACATGGTAATCACCAGGTAGGCCACACACCCTTCCCCTCCCCAGCCCCCAAATCTGTTAAAAGGACAGGAAATATAATCGTGGTCACATACCTTTGCTTCCTCGTTGATGTCCCAAGTGAAGGATATGGCGTTGTATGCAATCTCCTCAATGTTACTGATGGTGTTGAAGCTTTCCTTGTAGTCAGCTGTTAGAAAGAAGGATGCATGAGGGAGAGGAAGAGGCGATACCGTCTGGTGTCCTTAATCACACACAGCAGCCAGAAACTGCAACTCCTCAGCAGCCCCTTGGTGGCAGAGGAAGCTGAACTGTACTTGAGAATGGATCATTAAAAAGGCTGGAAATGGCTCTCATGAAAAAACAAAATACAATAAACACGAGGAAGGAGGAAAACAGGGCTCAGCAGAAATTCCAAGATAGAAACCCCAGTAAGAAAGGCAGACATCCCAAATATTGCTCATCCTGCGCCAAAGCCTGCTATGTGCAGGAAACTCTACCCTTTACAGCAAGGGCATAAGCTCTCAATAAAACTCCTTCAATAACAAAGATTTGCATGCGCGTCTGCTTTAAGTGCCAAGTGATTAATCCCTGCTTTTATTCACAGAAGGAAGGGACTAGAAGTACAACCCAGCCTTCAGCCAGAGAAGTCTGGAAGCCAGCCAGCCCCAGCTTTGTCTGGAGGCAAGTGGAAATTTGCAGTGTTTTCTTTTATTTATGTGTACCAAAGATCAGTTGTGAGCAAAGCTGTGGGAAGGAGGATCATTAGTGTCGAGGTATTTCCACGAGGATCTTGTCCATTGAAGAAATACAATATTTAGGACAGCCACAGAGTCTGTAAGCTGCAATTTATCTACAAGCACCAAAATATGCCAAAGCAACTGTAGTTTGGAGGGGAGTGTTACATCTCCCAATGCAAAACCCTAAACTCAGACTGGTCACCAACCAAAATCCTCCAAAAATCAATCTCTTTATGGAGTCCTAAAAACTACAGCATTAGCTTCAAGCAATCAAAAGCTCTCTCCAGGCTTCCAGCAAAGCTATGGATAGCAGAAAGCATGACCCAAAGGTTCCTTAAAATAACAAGGCTTTAGCAGAAAGCCAAACCTTGCCAAGGCATGAGGTTTGGAGTTTGACATCAGCGATGAGAATGTTCCTTACCTATGTCAATGCATCTTTGTTTGGCTGTGTGCTGTCTTGAGTGCCAGTATTTCCAGTGCCTGAGCTGATCTTCTCTTGTTTTGTCTTCAGCAAACACAACCATGATGACACTCTGAAAGGAGAGGGAGGCCAGGTAAGATTAAAAAAATAAATAAATAAAAATACTAAAATGCAAAACACGTGAAAGAAAAGGCCACAGAGTACATTTGTTTTGGAAGTTCTTCTAGATACCAGGTTTTCTGCTTTAGGCTTTCCGACTTGACGCACTGCAGTATAGCTGGCACACCGCTGCCAAACAGGAAGGCAGACAGCAGCACTTTCTGGGTCATAAACAAAGAAGAGCAGAACTGCTCTCCTAACTGGAGTTCAAGGATCTCATTCCAGGTGTTGCATCACCTTTACACAAGTGCTGACACCACTTCTTAACAGACCGAGCCAGGATGGGTTGGTCTGGAAGTAGGTGGACAGCAAAGGAACGAACACTGACGTAAGACAGCAGGTAAGATGGCCTTAGCGCTGATGCTCTGGTTTAGATTACTGCACTTTGGGAGAGTTTAAGGCTACCGTTGTACACACCCTCTTTCCCAAGAAACCACAAGAGCTGCCACTCACTCGGACTTTACTGATGGGGTGATGGATTCCTTCACTGCTGCTGACTTCTTTCAGCGTGATCGGGTAAAACTGACCTTTATTCAGGTAAGTCATTGTGCTGTCCCCAGGCTTCTGTCGGAGGGACTTGGAGGCTTCCAGAGTGTACTCAAAGTTATTCCTACGGAGCGAAGAGGGCAGTGATTGCTAAGGCATTTTCCTGGAAAGCCAATTAAATGTTCCACATTTAATTTGGAGAAATTCCAAAGCTGTTAGTTGACTCACTAAGCCATTAACAGGCAAGGAAGTTGGAAAACAGGATGAGCCCCTTTTTCAACCATTTCCTTCATGAATGAACATTTAAGAGAACTTCTTGGCAAGCTAAATCCCAATACACATCAGGAGGCAAGACTGGAAGCTCCCTATTCAGGCTGAGAGCAGCAAACTGCTCCCGTGGAACAGAAAAGTATCTATTAGCAATTAAATTAAATTCACAAGCTAATAAGCCATTCAGTGTCCACGGTCTTCTCCTCTTCCCTCTTGGTCAACTGCAGCTAACCAAACAACTAGTTTAATTCCCTCCCTTGGAATTCAGATGAGTTTCATGCTTCCTATTTCTGCCGTGGATTTCCAACAGGGAGAGAACAAGGCAAGTAGGCCAGGAAGAGGGACACAGCTGGAAGCCAGCTACAAGACCACTGCAGAGCTGGCAGACAGCACTGCATCTTCCTATGGGAGAGGGAGATGGTACAAGGACATCCGACTGAAACAGGGTGGTATTTCCAACCCTGCACGTCGTTTTCCTGAAAGATATAGGTAGGATTTTCAACTGTGAAATTCAAATGAGCAGGCACTGCTGTGGTTTTGAGATCCACAGAATCCCCAGCGCCTGACAGAGACTCAGTACAGAAGGGAGTGAGCTGTGCTGCTTGCTCATGGACAAGCCATCTACAAGAGAACAGGAGGATACGGGCAAACGAGGGCCTGAAAGCATTACCCAGAAATGCTGTCAAAAACATAATCTTCTGAATTCATGTTGGCCATCCGCAGATTCAATTCAGTAGGAAAGAAAACCTGCAGCAGACACAAAACAAAACAACACAACAATTAACAGAGCAGCAACAAGAAAAGTCAAGATTAAACAGATACTTCTTACCACAGAACTTCTGGCAGGCAAACTGATCATCAGATAACAACTGATTTTTTGGTCTGTACAAACAGGACACTTGAGCAGGTTATTAATCCAAAACTTTTGGGTGTCAACTAATACAACATCTCACAAACCTTCTGAGTCAGCTTAGGGCAATGTGTGAATGCTTTCCCAAATCTCAAGGAAAGGGCATACCTACACAGTTCCTTGAGGTCTGGCTCAAAGATCAAAACACGGTTATGCTGTTGTTTTCAGTTGCTACCATGAGACAAAACCCACGGATTTTCATCCAGGTTTAACTCTCACTCAAGACCCCTAAATAAACCAACAGGTTTCCACTGACACACACCATGCCTAGAAACTGGCAGTAAGGAAGCTTACAGACATCGTCACTTCACTTCGGTACCTGCAAAGGCACTGCGAAGCGCTGAACACTTGCAAAACCTGGCCCGGTGCTGTGGCTCAAGATAACTACTTCTACACTCTGCAAGCCAAAGGCTCTATCACTAGAAAGATCAGTCATTTGCTTTTGATACTGATTTCATGTTGTGAAGGTTTTATTTACTAAGTTATACTTATCCACCTTTCTGAGAAAGTCTTCTATTCCTAAATCACTGGACAGATTTCTGAGTCATGTAACAGAACAACTAAAGATGGAACTGGACCTCTCCATGCAGATCAAGACACGCACACACGCACACAGCGACTGCCTCTCTTGGTACCTCTTGCACGCCCTCCTTGAAAGTCTCTGAGAAAGTCGAGTCTGGTGTTCGCCTCTGGGAGTTTTGAGGCTGGGTGTTGGAACTGAACTGGTCAGGATTGAGGTTCCTGTCGAAGACCACCACCCGCTCAGGGGGCTCGGGGTGGTAGACACTTGGTGGGATACCCACTGCAAAGCCATGGGGCTGCGTCTCTGTTTTGATGGAATGGGTGGGCATCGTGGCAATTGAAACGGTGACCGTTGTGTCAGGGGTTGTAAGGTGGCCTCTCTTGTCCATGCCCATCTGGGGCGTGTGTGGAAGGACAATATTGAAAGGCACATTTTTCAGAACCTGGACTCTGTTTTCTCCAGCAGAGATGAGCGACTGTTCTGTCACATTTGGGATGTTGTTCCTTTAAAGGACAAAGAAAAAAATCCATGAATAAATTATACAGCTCATTTTCCCATTAAACAAGAACTAGAAATACTTCTCAGCCTTTTGGACAAGGACAGCTGATACCAACTCTCCTGCTTGTGCAGAACAGCTCAATCCTAGCCTGAAAAGCTGAGAAACTCATTCAAAAAAGAAACCTCACCCACTACTAACAACCCCACCTTGGAGATTAATTACCCTGGAGCAAAGGGTGAGGGTTCACAGCCCAGATCCTCACTGCCTGGAAAACAGCGGTCCAAAACCAAGCACTTCAGGGCCCTTCCCACCACGCATCGGCACACACAGGCTCCATGAAACTGCTCTTTGGCGTATGGAGGAGGACTGAGAGCAAGGTTGCTGCTCCTCTGCCCTGAGACCGCACACCACTCGGGAAGCACTAATAGGGAAATTACACCCCTCTTTCATGCACAAACCCCCGAGAAAATCCACACCGAGACTCCCTGGAGTGGTTTGCATAACTTCACACTCTCCACCCCACCACGCTCATTTCTACCAGGACAACACAGAGATCTGTGGCTGAGCTGACCTCATAGCTAGTGGCCACAAAGCCAGCCTGCCCTCCCTTTCTCCCTCCCCACAACGTGGTCCTGCCCTCTCCTTTTCTGACGCTCCCCTGTCCCCTCGGTGAGCCAGTTTGGCTTGTTCCACTGGCAGAAAACTAGCCACTTCTTTTTTTTCTGCTAGGTTATGGGTCAGTGAAAGACCAGAGCTGGTACGAGAGGAGCAGTGGGAACACATGGCTGGGACCCACAGCACTATTCTCAACAAGAAGGCGTTCAATCAGCTCAGCCAGATCACAAAACCTCACCTCGAGTCCTTAAAGCACTCTAGTCTGTCCAAAGGAAGAAGATGGTAGGAGTGGAAGCCTGGCTTCAATGAACCTCACATTCATAATATTTACTTAATCAGTATCTTCTTCTGCTTGGGAGGCACAAGAGAGGGAGGGCAGGAAGAGGAAGAAAGAAAGGAGTTCCAGAGAATACAGAAGAAATCCACAAACAATACGAAACCAAATCACAAGCACTTTGGAGTCATTCCCTATCAGCCCATGCACGAAGAAGCAGTGCTGCTGGTGCCTGAGAACAAAATCAGCAGTGAGCAACTGAGGCAATCGCAGGCAAGAATAAAAGGGTCACCAGTCACCTCCACAACCTTGGGAAGGGGTGCCTGCGCTACCAGGCTGTGCCTAGTGTTAAAAAGAGCAGCTTTTGCTACGCTGACTGCATGACACCAGTAGACAGAAAGCAGATGGATGGTGATAAGCAGTTTGGGCCTCCACTCTCCACATCATGGGCCAGTCCCCATCCTGTTCCTGGGGTAGCACAGGAATTTGGGGCACAGAGTAAAAGCAAACAATTTCTCTCTTCCAGCACAGCACTGCAGTGCAGCAAGTTACTTTCCTTCAGCAGCTTTGGTGGTGTAGGAGGGGAGGGAGACAGCAGACACACAGTAATAAAAACTAATACCTTTTGCTATGGTCTTGGTCAGGATGTTCTACCTCTGGTTTAGCTGTTGAAGATCTCCTCTCCCTTGGAACCTGTAAAATACACGACATGCTGTAATTGCATTCTAACTCCCATACCAAAAAAAAAACCCCACACCAAAAAACCTCCTCAAAACACAGCCATTTGGTCAAATTAAGAAAGCATCACTCTCTGATACCAGTCACTATTAGCATTACAGCTTGACCAGTGTTCACATGGCTTTGGGATGCCAGCCCACCCCGGGCGATGCCCTGCAGATCCCCATGTAGCCAGCCTGGCCAGCTGTGCCAGCCCTGGGCTCCTGCCAGTGCTGGGCGGTGGGAAAACCAGTGCAGAAAACTGGCCATGGCTGGCTGGAGCACCAGCACTGGGGTGAGCAGGACCAGGAGGGCAGCACCCATGGTTTGTTCTGGTGGTGCAAGTTTTCCCCTCTGCAGGCTGTCAGGGTTCAGCTTGCTGGATGAGCTTGGGGCTTGTGAAAGGACGCTGCTCCACAGCCCCTTCCCCAAGAACACATGCTCTCCAGGCCGCTTCCTCAAAGACCACTCGCGGCTTTCCCTTCTCCTCAGAGAGCAGGGGATTCAGGGAAGACCAGGTCCAGTAAGCGTTTTAGGATCCTAGAGCTCATTTTTGTGCATGGCCACATACAACACACTGACCAAACTGTATTAAATGTTTTATAAACAAAAGGTAACCACGAGTGGTCTGGATTTAAGACAGCTCAATACTGCTCCTTCTATTTTATGCCATGGACAGGATATGCCCTGAAAACACCGCACATCACAACACTATCACACAAGTGACCTCATTCACACACAGGCACATGCCGTTTTCCTGGCTATGCTGCAAGGCCAAGTACAGAAGGTGGTGAACTCTTCGACCTGTAGCAACTCAGTTCACTGGAGCACACAGCCAGCAACACAAACAGCTCTCACCACCACTGGCACAAGCCCGTGGTGCTCAGGTCCCCTCAACCGTGCAGCAATTCCACACGAGCTCCTCTGCAAACACACACGGTGCCCAGGACTTTTGTCACCCTCAACACACCTCCTGAATGAGCAAACACGTGCCGCTGTAAGGAGGCGTAAACTCCCACCACCTTCATTCACTGAAGCCTGCTCAGATACCGCCCATGTTTGCCAGCTTGGATGCAACATGGGGAACCACCATTTTACCGCTAACTCAAAGGCTGATGGCATACCTGCATGAAAGCATACTTCTCTGAACAGTCCCCAACTAAAACCTACATCCTGGCTCTTCCACATAACCTGGAATCCCCAGTAACACCAGAAGCGTTGGATTTTCCATGGTAGCCAGCAAAATTTGGAGAACCTCTAGCTCAAGGCTGCTAGGAGGTCAACACTAACTAGTCACTGAAAAACAAGGGTCTTCCGAGCTGCATTTGGCCAACACTCCTAAACTCTAGATTTTGATCAAAAATTTGTTTCCCTGTAAGGCCGCATTAACCACAGTTGAGCTATGACGGTAGCCCGTTGGTCAAATGGAAGAAAACTCAAGTTGTTTGGGTTTGTTTTTTGTTTGTTTTTTTTTGGTGTTTTTTGGTTTGTTTGTTTTTTTTTTAATACTAAGGTCATCTCATCAGCTGCCTTTAATGTTGCAAGGGGAGCATATTAGAAATGCCTAGACACCACCCTTCTAGCATTACTTCATAACAGCCCTCAATAAATCTTTCAACCTCTAACCATTTTGTTTCACTCAAGTGTGCAAGATACCTGTTCTTCTTTTCTGTACACCAACTAACATCCAACATAAGAGGAAACCCCCAAATTAGACATTAACATACGGCAAATCCCTTCTGCTTTGCCAAGCATGACGGATCAAAATCAACATTCTCTTTGTAATCTACAGGTTTAGAAATCAAAACTGATTTTGTGGATTAAAATTGTTCTGGTGAAAGTGTTTTTTGGTGTTTGTTTTGTTTTTTTTTTTTTCCAGAAGCATAGCAAGCACAGGCACAAAGCAGAAAGCCAGTTTTCTCACAAAACTAGCTGAATAACATCCACATCACTGAGTCTGTGGCATTTTGTCATGTGTGTGTGGAGTGCTAATCTCCATATTAAGCATTACAAGAATATTTTGATACGTAAGACATGTTCAACTCTTAAAAGGGCAGGCAAGGATTTTGCATGCAGAAGGCAACCTCTCCTCATGTATGAAGAACATACCGAGGCCTGCAATTGCACTCACTACTGTTAGAAGACGCTAGCCAAAGTGTCAGGCACACGAGCCAAGTCAGCCTCCTGGCCTCCCTGCACGCTCAGCAAAGAAAAACCAAGCATCTCCACCCCGTGAGCCAGGCCACCGTAACGCAGGCGTCTAACACCAGCAGGACGCCTCCCTGCCTGGAAATGCCTGCTGGTGTCCAGTGACTTGGACTGGAGATAACTACCCTGGCTCAGACTTCTGGTATTTAGGAAAGAAAGGTCAGCAAAACGTATCCCACACAAACCAGAAGGTTATCTGTTTGACTGTGTTCAATTCACCTGCGAGAACTTAAGAAGGCACGTGTCTCTGAGAAGACCATGAACTCTGGGGAAGATAACCACAGTTGTCAAAAGGATTAACAGATTACGGCAGCTGAAGCTCACTGAGGGCTAGAGGGATGCAGGCAGCACCTCCTTCAGGTGGATGCTTCCGCCCCATACACCACCAAAAATCTGTAGTTATGGCTTAGTACCAGCTGAGACTAAGGTAGCGCATCAAAGTCCCAGAAAAAAACAACGGTCCCAGAGTAATGATCACACGAGCAAAAGGAGAGAAGTTTCTTTCTCCATGTGTATTTACGTTCAGACAAGGACATGCTCCCAAAGCCTCATTCTTCATGACTATTTCTGTAATACATCGCCTCCTGCAGAACCTGGAGTCGACAGGCAAAGTGCTCCTGGAGCTTTTGACTAATTACAGTAAGATCCAGAGGATCTTATTTTACTGCACTAAAAATAAACCGATTTTCAGAAAAAGGGACATGGAATTTTTTTCATTTAAAAGACATATCTTAAAGTCCTCGCGATCTATTCGTAGCTTCTATGAAGTCCTCTAGCAAATGACACCTTTTCCACAGGTGGAACAAGAGCTCAGCTGGCTGCCAGAGCATACCCACACCAATCTACCTTGTAGTAATCATACAGCAGTCCGAGGGCAGCTGCACTGTCTTCATCGCCATTGATGCTCATCATAGCTTTGGTAGCTGCTGTAAGGGGATTTTCAAGAAAGGTTTTCCAGGCCTCATCTTCACTGGTGTAAGGACGTCTCTGAGAGTAGAGAGAGTCATTCTGAAGAACCAACACGGGTCTTTTACTTGAATCATGGAAAAAAGAAGAAGAAAGAAAGAAGCCACCTGTTAGTATACATGAAAAACATTCCTAAAGTTCTTCAAAATTAGCTGCCTCAGTTTCACAGGGTTTGTATTCTGATTCAGTGCACTGCAAGGATTAGTCAACACAAAAAGCCCAGAAACCTAATTCTGATCTCACTCACGCTCAGTGTAAATCAGGATTAATTTGACCAAACTCAGCTGGATTACACCAGCCTATACAAGAAGGTAAAGCCATTTAAGAGCACAACTGAACTGCTCATGCTCCGAATCCAACACAGAGAGTTACACACACTTACTGGCCTACCACCAACAAAAGCTCTAGCCCATCCTACGTAACACTACCAAGCCACAACCTGCTCCAGCTCCCACCTGGAACTAGAAAATGTGAATTAGTGAAACATCTCTTTCCCCCAGAGCTTTCAGAAGGTATCTTCACTCTCAGAGTATATCTGAAAACACCACCTAGAAGCTGATTAGTTATAGACTACACAGGGAAATTGGTCAACGGGACCTCAAATCAGTCTGGCAGTGAAGTTTTCTGGCAAGGGAAGACAAAAGACTTACTGCCTGGTTACTGTTGAAATAATGTGGGACACTAATTTGAAACACCCTCAAGAGATACCTGGGCGGGGGGGGGTGTGGGGGGTGTGTGTGTGTGTAAGGAGGAGAAGAAAAACTGGAGTTTTTCCCTTTATATTGTAGTATAGTTAAAAAAAAAAATTACTCTGAACATTTTCAGATTCCTGGGAACAAGAAAGCTCCAAAATGACTCGGACCTTCTGCCCACAGGCGAAAGTGGGACATTTCTAGAAAATGCTGTCCTACCAGCTTAGACAACTTAATATATTTCAGTTCTATTGGTAAAATATACACTTCGCCTTTCAAGTCAGTTCAAGCTAATGTTGTATAAATCTGACTTTTAAACCAGTTCAGACAGTTTTCTTTCCAGTGCAAGTGTAACATTGGTTTACTGCAGATTGGTGGGGAGAGAAGGGAGGCTTTTTTGTTTTCTTAAATAATCCCAAACTTGGCATTTTTTTAATGAATCAGTAATGGTTTAAAATAAATAAATAATTGTATTTTAAAAAAACCCAAACCCCACAAAAAGCAGTTCCCCACCACCATCACACCCCTTCCCTGGTAGATAAGCATTCTTTTCATCTATTTACCCAGATGCATTCAGAGATTGAAATATACTACAAATACAAAAAGTTGTGAAATACAAAGTTGTGAAATACTCTAATCACTATAATCAGCTTAACAGTATCCTACATTTATCACCACCTTCTACCAAAAAGATTGCAAAGCACTTTGCAAATTACGCGTTCGATCCTTTATCAGTTACACAAGTAGTCTCGCTGAGCTTCAAGAGGAGAGCTTGGCTGAGTGGAAGACACATAAAGCCAGTGGGAGTTTCCAAGACTTGCAAGAGCGCTTTGTGCCTATAAATCAGTATTAAATAGTTGGGGAAAAAAGCAAACAACAACAAAAAAAGACAAGCTCTTGCACTGAGCCCTTCCTTTAGGTCTTTGTACAGATTTGTGTACACAGTGACGCATATGTACCAAAACGCAGATACTTCTGGCAGCAAGGACATCCACTTGTCATTTAAGTGAGACGAGCAGCAGAAGACAAAGTTCTTTAGGAACATGGTACAAGCTCCTATTCGCATACAATGTGATAACAGAAACCTCGAATATGAATAGCAAATGGGTAAATCCTCCAATTAAAGTCACTTGTAAAGGAAAAGGCCACTGAAGTAACCTGGGTGCAGTTCACTCGATCCATCCCTGCCAAGCCAAAGGGCTAAGTCAGCCTTGCTGGAACTCACAAGACCTCTAAGCTGATTCCCTCCAGCAACGCAATGCTCGCATGGAAAGAGAGAACCAAGGAAGAACCAAAAATGCTAAGAACTAAAGCAGCCACTAACCAGAAATGTAGCAAATACAAAATCCACATATTTTTGTACGATTTCTTTGTCATTGCAACACCTAAATACAACGCACACTGCCCTGCAGGTAACCTACCCCCTTAAAGGCAGTGTAGAAAGAATTCTCTTCAGACTTAGAGAGGAACACAGGGTTTGGCAGTAACTCAATCCCTTAACAGAACGACAGATTCTTTCAGGAAAATGAGAATATGTTAATAGGAAAAATTAATGTTTACTTTCTCTTAAGTTTTAGGTTTCAAGACTACTAGCACATGGATCTGCTCACAGAGTAGTAGACATATCCAGTGAAGGCTGGAAAGAAGTTTCCTACTGCCGTTTTCCGAATAAATAAAATTTCTGAATTTTATTTTCTACATGACCGAAGCAGAGGGATATTACAAAAAGCAGATATTGTCTCTTTGCCTGCGAGGATCCCACAGCCCACAACGTTCCGTGTTCAGACCACAGAAGCTATTCCTACTTACTTCACCGGCCCAGAACCCACCCTTCCTCTCCCTCACCGTGCAGTTTATCTGTTAAGGTGTTAAGAGATGCTCAGCCGCACCGCGCTTCACACCTACTCTTTGCACAGAGCACACCTTCAACGCCGAGGCAGCAGAGAGGATTTCTTTCGCAGGCTTCTACGTGACAGAAAAGCAAAGCGTGTGTAACCTAAATCACTATGGCCTCTCTATTAAGCCTCAGTGGAGGTAAAAAAAAAAACAAACCCAAAACAAAACAACACACACATGAAAAATCCTCATCACCGTGTGAAGTTAACGAGCTGCTGCAGTGGAGTCCTCTTTCTAAAACGTCGTATATTATATTAAAAAAAAAACAAACAACCACAACTTTGGTAAAAATCCTACACTTTGCCTAAGGAACGAGTGCATTGGAGTCACCGATCACTCAAAACACATTAGTTTTATAATCGGTTCTTCAAATCCCTTCAGTTACCCCGCGCTCTACTCACCGGCAGCGCCCGCGGCC